TTAGAGCTACAAGCCGAGAACTTGATATAGACTAAATGGGATTTTACGCCCTTCATTTTTGAAAACTTCTTAGGAGTTTCTCAACTGACTCTTTACCCAAATGGCTTCATTAAAATAGCGTACATTTATTCGTTGTTGGACTTTGTATGAATACTCAATTTTACAGTTCCAAACACATTTTAAACAAAGCCTTTGTATCAAAACTTGCAGTTGTTCATACCTAAGACAAATATTCACAGGTATCTACCATTGCAAGCTCAAATTCTGACTCGTTTTGATTCAAAGGCTCGACTACTTTCAAAATGGTGCTTAGAAATGTAAAATGAAGTATAGATTTATATGGAATAGATCAATAGTACCTCTGTACTCCAAAAGATCGCATTCTTTGTGTCCACAAGATGTTCTGGGTGCATGGTTGGATCCGAGTTGCTAAGATTGCACTGCAGTTTCTGAGTGTCAAATGTGCATGAGATACATCCACGTTCCATGTGCATGAAACAAAGAGATGGGCAGAACTCCGCATCATTTGCTTGTATGGTCATGAAAGTGTGKCCAATAAGTGCTTTGCCGTTGTATTTATGCTTTACAACCATTTTCTTCCTGCATTGCTGTCCATTTACTGAAATGATTTTTTAAAGGTGGCTTCCTATAATATTCTTTTTCGACCATACCTCTCCTTTTAAAGTTGCTCTTTGAAAATCTTGCCATGCACCGATTGAATTGGTGTTTGGACCAGTATTAAAGCATTGACCAAAGTTTTGTTTGGCATAATATTTAGCTCCATCAACATTACCTAGGAAACGAAAAACGAATTTTGCCGAAATTCGTTTTTGCCAAATATCATGTAGTAATCACAACCATAAAATATTTAAGAAATATAAAACGGCCGCTTGTGTCTCTGTCCTCTGATATAAACACGGTGGGAGTTCGAAAAACACGAGAGAAGCAAGCTTAGGAACACGAGCATAGCGATACTTTCTAGTTGGTCCAAACACCAAATAAAGCGGTGCATGGCAAGTTTTTCAAAAAGCGAGTTTGAAAGGAAAGTTATAGTTGAAAAAAAAAAAGAAAAAAAAAAAACATAGGAAGCCATCTTAAATTAGAATTTTGTGAAATAATAATTCATTTTTTTTTCAACATGAATTTCAATTTTGTAACATATAAAGATTCTTCCCTTTGTTCGATCTGTTTAGTTCTTAGTTTTAATTTGTAGAACTATTCAGAATAGAGTTATTGCAATAGCTTTTTGTTGCTTTCATCATTGATATTCAACATTCATAGCGAGGAATATAACGAGAATGCGAATTGTAAAAATTTAATGAGCATCCCGATCAAATATGTCAAATATATACAAAAAACGTTGCTAAAGAGATGAAGTTCTTCATAAATATACTGCCATAAAGAAATTTTGGAAGGAGTTCATTTAAGTAAAATATTTTTGATAAGTCATTGATATCAGGCCGATCTTAAACTAACTTAAAATTGTTTTAAACGTTTAACAGGAAAACCATAAGTACCTTATAACTGTAGTAATAATTTCAGTATTTAAACATTTTACGTGATTATTTTATTTTCTATTTCTTAATATTTGTACAAAAAAATTGTACAACTAAAACTTACCAAAGATGAAATATCCATGTGATATAACCAGAAGTAAAAATATACTTGTTAACAAATCCATTGTAAGTAGTATACCTATATTCTTGCATACCGCGCACTTCAAGTGCATCTGTCAATCAATATGACGTCATTTTTTATTAATGATTAAGTTGTTTACCTCGATTGAATATGGCGCTTAATTTTTAATATTCAGAACACCCTTATGTTCCTTGAACGTCATTAGAAGACTCGTTTTCGATTTGAATTTTTTTGCTGTTACAACACGTCCTCTAGTCTTTCGAATTTCGAAGGATTAATTGACAGATATATTCCATTTTTTTTTTCAAAATATTATTATATTAAACTCACAGTTTATTCTTAAAAGAAAATCACACAATTTTTATATGCTATACTGTATTTATTAAAAATATCCTCAATCACATTAAGATTTCCATGTCAATACTCTAACATAGGCATTGTTATATTGTGTTTCAAAAACTCATACATAATTAATGAGTTGTTAGGCCATTGGAATGAGCCTATTTGGTGAAATGCATGGAGCTTTATATCTGATAAAACACTCCTTATAAGTAATAAAGTCAATTTCGTATGAGTGGGAAACGGACGGTACTGTACTGTAACCATAATCGTACTGTAGCCAAATTTTAGTGTCTCATTGCTTCACAAAAATTGTGCAGGCCAGGTCCGGTTTACGTTCTGTGCGGTAACCGTGCGGTAATTTCTACCGTACGTTTCCCACTCATACGAAATTGACTCTACAAAGAATACTAATAAGGTTGACCTTTATCAGACATTCTAAAACTCATGAATTATTCATTAGACATTCTTCCAATGAGCATTCAACTATGGGTCACATGACAGGATCTATAACTCAAGTTATAAACACTGATTAATTAAACATGAGTTTTATAACTAACCGGTTCAGTTAGTTATAACACTCATGCATAAAACATCAGTGTTGTAACTGATTTACAGACACTCGATGTATGCCCGACACTACAAAAGTTCTCAGTTTTAGACTCTCATCATAGAACTTCACTAGGTCTCGAGTTAAAATTACTTATCTGCAGAGTCACAGTACACTAAAACATAGTGGCGCTTGGATGTGGGAAACCAAGTTGATTACTGCTCATGCTCAGATGGAGATATCTTCATCAATTATTCACTTTTGATACTTTTTTATTTATTTCATGTATATTGTAGTTTCGTAGGTTTGGGTTTTAGAAATCATTTAAAAAAACTCGTAGTTCGTGTTTTAGCGTGGATATAAACACTCGGCCTTCGGCCTCCTACTCGTTTTTGAAATATCACCTAAAGGTCCATGACCGATAGCAAAGGTGTCAGGTTTGATACCTGATTATTGCAGGATGTCAACTGATTGCAGTAAAAAAGCCAACAGCGCTTCTATTTTGCGTTACGCGTATTCAATGTGGGTTGGCAAGAGTGCTTTGTAGTGATTCGCGCATAATTAGTTTGCCCCATTTATCTCAAAACATATTTTTACGGCAACTTCTCCAAGAATTTTCATGGATTTGAGTTTCAAATTAGTAATGGAGTTTTTGAGTTTTTGCCTTCGGCTCGAAACTTTATACTTGATAAAACACTCTCTCTCGTGTTTTAAACTATACTTATAGTTCGTTAAACTTGCGTAACGTAACATAGAGCGGATTTCGTATGAGTGGGAAACGGTCGGTACTGTACTGTGGCCGTAATCGTACTGTAACCAAATTCTAGTGCCCCATTGGTTCACAAAAATTGTGCAGGCCAGGTCCGGTAACTGTGCGGTAACCGTGCGGTAACGATGTCCCACTCATATGAAACCCGCTCTATTAATGCGTTACGTAACACACTATTTTTTCTTAAAAGTAGCATATTCTATTCTTATTTATTAAAATGGAATAGAATAGTACCATAGGTTAGAATCTGACAGTCATGTCTTGCAAGGCATTCCGGAAGATTATTTTCTCCTTTTTTTGAACTCCTATTAACAAGTATTTAGAAATCTTTGAGGTACCATATGGTCAGTTTTACGCCATCAAAGCTCTTGAATGCTTCAACTGCCTTTGATACGAGTACCTATAGAGGAATGTTAAGTCAGGAAATAATACATTTACGCCCATGCTTGWCATTTTTAGTGTCTGACTGAGGTTCCAAACTGATTGTAACATYATCACCAATCAAGAAAAAGGCAGCCCAATACATCGGGTCACTGTAAAYTGATTCTCTCATTTCCTTCATGGCCTGCTGTAGGCTCCTACTAGCACTCTCTCCTTCAATAAGGTGTGAATAGAATTTCAACATGAAGAACTTGGTAGCGTTGTCATCAATGGCCCATAATGACGCGACAACAGCACGTGCTCCTGAAGCAAGRAAGGCACGAGCCATSCCAACCACGCCCTCAGMCCTGATGTCACCTTTACCGCTGTGGCAGCAGCTAAGCACAACAAGTTGGGCTCGTAAACCACTCTCTTGTGCCTCGTTAATCGTTAARATATAATCCTTCTCCTCTGGGAGTTTATCYGAACTGTAGGTTTGGGACGGAGCTAGAAGTATTTGGCCATTTTCAGTTTCTCCGTGTGCTGCAAAGTGRACGAYTGACACACCTTTTTGTAGTCTTTCCAATATGTTTTGTTTTGTTGCTKTTTTTCTAGTTAATGCTTCWACRCCAAGAAGRTCAGCAATTTYGTTCGCTTCATCCTCTGCGCCATGTAGGGTCGTGAATGATCTTTCTTTACCTCTGTATATTACTTTTCCAATGTCAGGATTCCCAACAATCAAAGCYCCGGACTTCAACAAAATATTTTAATTAGCACAATATACAACAACATAAGGTTGGGTATAGTCCATACTACACATACAGTAGCCTTGCCCAAACACCCTTGATTGTTCAGACTTTATTGATCAGGTAATTGTCAGTGGGAATAAAACAAGTAGATTATTCAACGAAACGGGTACGTTCGGTTCTCTGCACCATCGAAGCGAGACGACCGTTGAGCGTGCAATGCAAACCTTCTWTCACACTTGGAGACAATTATTCACAGGTATCTATCATAGCACGCTCGACGATTGTCTCGCTTCGAAATAAAGGCACGGCTACCTTTCAAGATGGCGCAGGGAAAAGTGAATGAGAGCATTACAGCGCAACGTAAAATTGCGACCACTGATAACATATTCGCTTTATTCTGTCTCGAGARTTTGCGTCTTGATCCCAGACAAGAGAGCACAATCCTACAACGGTGATTGATTAATAAGCAAGACAAAAGTATGCCATAACGGAGTTTGCGTGTTTGCGCGCTGTAAGTACAAAATAAACCTGTGCTACAATTCTAATCTACAATTATATCAATATGGCAATGGCAGTTTCTTGATACAAAATGTTTTTTTTTTTGTAGAATTGCTTCAAACTTACCATATGCTCTTGATCATTAGAAGATTCCTGCAAAATCTTCAGAATCGTCARAGAGGGTATCAGACGAATGCGCTTCGTYTCCGACAGATAATTGCCTGTTTTGGTATCTTGAAGTGCAGCAAAAGGGACCAYRAAGAGCTCWCCATCAGGAATGATAACCACTTCGTCTTGAATGAGTTTTTCTTCTACTGGAGATATCAACATTTCATAAAGATAGACTAATGGTTTTTCGTCTTCTTCAACTTCAAATATACATCGACTTTTTGAAACTTTGGTACTGCTTTCAGTCGGTACGGGCTCGGTAGGTATTCCGCAAGCACTCGTTTCGAGCTCGGTAGCATTTAGAATCCCCAACGACCTATCCTCACATTCTACTTCTCTAACTTTCATTTCTTCGTAGCTTTTCTCAATGACATTTTGGATATTTACTTCTTTGCTACTCTCCTCGTCGCAATCATCTTCTGTGGATTGGAAATCATTGACATCGCGGCGAACACAGAACGATGGATTTGGGMAAGCTKCGGGGACCCACATCTGAATGGAATCCTTCTCTGGCGAAACATCRAAATACAGAATCGAGAAGTCAACTAATGTCATATCGATTATATCATAAACACCACGCTTARATAGTTCCAATGAACCGCTGTTTGGYGTGTTTTGTCTATTGACACCGTATTTCATGCTTAGTAGGTCTTCTAACGCGTGTCCTCGTCCACGCTCGGATACTAATATGGCTTCATCGGCGTCCCCAGTATCTAAATATAAACGTGTTAATGCCTTGTAGGCTTCAATGTATGTGTCAACTATCGGAATCTTCAGGGTGTCGTTGGTTCCCAAGCCGTGATATAATTCTTCAGAACAGCGGATGCTCTCCACTAAATGCTCGTTGGCTTTACTGTGGTTTTTAGCGTGCATTAACTTGTAGCACATACCTAGAGAAAAACGCAGATAAAATATGAAAAAACAAATACTTTTTTTTATAAAAAACTATTACTTGCTTCTATAGCTAATGCCAATTCGCATAAAAACTACTGCCACCAATGTGAAAAAAATACTACCGTATGTTTACAAGCGAAAGTAGCAATGTACTGCAAATTTTCTGGAGAAAATACTCCAATTTCGAGTTCTGGTTTGCTCTATGTTAGCCTCAAAACCAAGTAACATATTATTTTGTTTCGTTGATAGCTCGAGAAAACGCATGGAATTTTGTGAAGAAAGACAATAAATTTGATTTGAAATCTCACACCTTTACACTCACAATAAAGAATATTTTGCGCACAAATGAGGCTAACACAGAGCATTAGGGAATTCGAAACTGGAGTATCAATGGAAAAAACGTAAATAAATTACTTTACTGTTGCCATAAAAAACAGATTTGTAGTCTTGAAATGAAAAGCACATTTGTTGTCAAAATGTCAAAATAGTTCTGKTTTTTCAACTGATTGAGCGTGCGCGAGAATCAGCCTTGCTTCGTAAGAGAATTCACATAACCATGGTAACGAAGGCTATCAGTGTACTCATCTGAAGAGACTTACTGATGTTAAAATGCACCATTGCCACAGCTTTTCTATCACCTATGCTCGACAGAATATCCACAGCTTTTTCGCAGCACTGAATAGCGTCTTCATATTTCTCTGATKCCTTGTAAACGCTCCCTAAGTTCCCATAAGCAAGTCCTTCTGTCTGTTTGTCACCTATCTCTGTAGATAGAGCCAAGGTCTTTTGGTAGCATTCAGACGCTTTGCTTAACTTCCCCATTAACTGATATGCTTTTCCTAAGCCATTGAAGCTATTAGCCTCGGACCTTTTGTCTCCTATCTTCTCAGCTAAGTTAAGAGACTTTTCAGAGTGCTGTAATGCTTCCTTGTGCTTGCCTACCAACTGTAGAACATTCGCCAGGTTCCCATAAGCCGCGAGCTCTCCCTCTGTATAACCAATCTCTTTGGAAATGCACAGTTCTTTGACCCAGAAATCTGTTGCCTCTCGATGTTTTCCCAATGAAAAGTACGTTATTCCTAAGCGTGCACAGCAATTGGCTACATCCCTTATATCTGGCGAAACTTCAGCCAATGCAAGGCAGGAAGTGTGGTATTCAACTGCTTCGTTGTATTKTCCTAATAAACTATACGTACTTCCCAAATTTCCAAAAGCAGTTTGAATTTCACGATTGTCGCCTAACTTTTGAGCAATGTCAAGCTGTACTTTGTAATAGTCAAGTGCATTTTGGTAGTCTCCTARGGAGCGTTGTGCATCGCCTAAGTTTCCTAATGCTTTGCCATAATTGYCTATGTCACCGATCGAAAGCGCGAGCTGACTGCATCTTTCACTGCATTCAATTGCCTTTGCATAATCCCCCGACAAGATATAAATCCTTCCCAAACATCCGAGAGATATAGCTTCTTCTTGTAGATTACCAGTTTCCTTTGAGATAGTAAGGCACTTTTCATAATACTCAGTTGCTTCTTGATATCTCGATAATGATGTATAAACCAGTCCCAAGTGACCGTATGTATTTGCTTCTATCTTCAGGTCACCTGAATCTTTAGCCAAACGAAGGCATTTYTCAAGATATTCAACAGCTTCCGCGTATTTTCCTTGCTCTTTAAAGGTAATGCCTAGGTTGCCATAGGTATCTCTTTCTAGCGTTTTGTCTCCGATTTCCAAAACTACAATAACATGCTTCTTATAACAGTCATTTGCCTCTTGATCTTTCCGTGATGCACTGAATGAATTTCCTAAATTCAAGTACGCCACTCTTTCTCCATCTTTATCACCAATTTCTGTAACTATACGAAGAAAGCTTTGGTAAAATTCAACAGCTTCATCGAATCTCTTTAAAGAAAAGAAAGCATTTCCAAGATGCAWGTTAGCAAGTCCTTCGCTCTTTCTGTCTCCCAAATCTTTAGCGATACTTAGACTTTTCTGAAGGTATGCAATTCCCTCGTCATATTTCATTAGTGCTACATGCACAATGCCTAAGTTTCCATAAGCTTTTTCCTCGCCACACTTGTCGCCTATTTTGATAGCAAGGTTAAGACCTTTAGTGTGATATTTCACTGCTTTATGAAATATTCCCATAGACTGATAGGCTCCTCCCAGATTTCTATAAGCTTCTATTTCAGCGAGTTTGTCTTTTTTTGCCTTGGCGATACTAAGAGATTTCTCAAGGCCTTCAATCGTCTCCATTATCTATAAAATAACACATACTAATCATATATCTAATTATATAGCCACATATTAATCCCAAATAGGTAAAAACTGGATTTTTCGTTAATTTTGGAATCCTGTCCAATTAAGAAATTAATTGGACAGGTTTTCAATTGGGTTTTTGTTAAAAGCTGTGGTTGGCTTTTACCTATTTGGGATCAATATGTGGCTATATAATTAATAGGTAATAAGACTCCATGCTGTCCAATTAAGAAATAGTTAGACTCGAAAAATTCCTCTGACTGCCAAATTGGACTCAGGCCACGGCCTCGTCCAATTTTTGGCAGTCCTCGGAATTTTTCTCGTCCAATTATTTCTTAATTTGACAGCATGGAGTCCTATTACATATAAAAACAGCAATACAGGTAAGAAATTAGAATGTCTTTTTCATGATAGCTGACATGATGGTTTTAATTGTCATAATTAACAATTAGACCTCGAGGTCGAGTGGACTACGAGCTAATAGCCCATGAGGCCGAGTCCGCGAGACCGAATGGGCTATTAGCTCGTAGTCCACGAGGCCGAGAGGTCTAATTGATTTAGTATACTAATCGGCCAGATAATGAAAACAAATTGAAATATCCTTAAAATAATTTATAATTTATTTATTTTGATTTTCCCGCTAGTGATCTATCACAAATTAGACCATTAGTAGAGTAGCCAATCACAGCGYAGTATGAGTGATAGACCATTAGTATGTTTATACTAATTATTATTGTATTATTGTAATGCGGATTACACATGCAGATTAGATACTCGGTCCTCTAGGGGTCAAGCAACTAATCAAAGTCAGATTTGGATATTTCAGCAGATTTCTCATACAATTTTATAGTTTCATCTTGTTGTACACATAACCTAATCAAATRGACAATTATATTTTTTCAATTTTAACTGATTAAGCTGTAGCTCTTTTAGAAATTATSTATTATTTATATGATAAATTTGAGAATAAAAAACAACAACAACAACAACATTGGCTCTAGGACTGCTAAATTTACAGATATATATTTTTTATCTTTCTTTTTGTTGTAGGATAAAAAATAGAAATATAAGTAAAAACATAAATATGTGTAGCACTTGGAAACTTTTTACCGATTGAGATTTTAYATGAATTTACTCTTGCCAGACAAAAATGACATCATTGTTTGATATAACCAAATATATCCGATTTTACATTGCTATATTAAACTCCATACCTTGTAAGAGCTTGATGATTGGTCTTGATCAATTAATTTTGTAGTGCGAATACGCAAACCTTATATACTTATGTATTCGAGCTTACGTGAGTCTTATCATGTCTTTTATGCATGATCAATGACACGCAATCTCTATTGAATACAGTGTGTCACGCAACAACGATGTTTTCCTGTGCTATAATACCTCATATCGACCAATGCTCAGTTCTATATGTAAAATGTGTTGTTATTTATGTCTTTTTTATTTCTGTTTCTCAAGATGAAACTCGAAGTATTGTATAGTGATGCAAATAACCAGGAACAAACTCAATTAGACGATAAAGATTACATACACTACTTAGAAAATAGAATCGATTGCATTCAAATAAGTAAAATTGGATAATTCTTTGCTAATTCAAARTTTATAAAACTGCCAGGATTGACATTTTTGTATTTAACTGACAGTATTCCGATAGTTTAAAGGTTGATTAAACGAAATGAAACTAGATATATTTTGCTCAAGAAATAAGAACACCAATATAGACAGAAAGATAGCAACATCATCAAAGCTGAGTCATACCTCGATTTAACCAATGAATAATGCGTGTTCAACTTGGTCGACTTATCTACCTTGGCAAGTATTAATACTATGAGCTTCCCTAGACTAGATTGTCAATGGAACTAAACGTGCAAGGATCCGTGCAAGTGTCAACAGTTKAGTCAATTAGCTTTGGCGTGACTCTAAGACTAGGTCACGTCACATGGCGACACGTGGAATGAGATAGAGTAAAGCGGCGTTTTACACGAGTAATTTTTCCTTGACAAGTTTTCCTTGACAAGGAWAAATTGTTCGTGTAAATGGGGTAAATGGCCAATTTTTCCTTGTCAAGGAAAAGCCAACATGTTCACTTTTCCTTGACAAAGTGCCACCGATATGAAATTTCACTTTTCAACTGCTTTAAGCGATATGTGCTCTAGGGAAATATGTAAAGGCCAAACGACTTACCAAGCTCGATTAAAGCAAAATAGGTAGCSGAATCGTGTTTCCTTCGCTTTTTCGGAGAACAAGCCATCATGGAGGAGTTCACATAACTTGTGAATTTCGCAAATGCAATATGCGGGCTTTGGGTGAATGGTTGAAGAAAAACAAAGACTGAATTAATTTCGTAGACATGACCTCTCGGCACGTTGGAATTTTGCATTGGCGTMCAGGCTCTCGCCGCTTCTTCTGTACAGTATTTTCTCGGTTACGGCTGCAAAATGGCGGTTTTTAAACGGATTTTACTTGCGTCAGGAGAGCTCATGGCTCAGGAAATCCAACTGGCTCGATGAAATCAACATTTCTGCAGTGTTACGTTATAAGTTTATAGCTGTGCAAATGCACATTGCGTTAGGAGTCGAATTTCGACGAAAAAATCGACCAAATTTAGAGCTGTTCGAAGTGGATATGGAGGGCTTCGATTCCTACCCTGTCACAGATTATAGTAAGAGGGGAAAAAATCATAAAAGTTCTGAAAATAGCTCCAAAGACCAGTAGCTATAATAATGTACACAATARGTTATGGCGACATTTAATGTATATTTATGCCATAAATYAACTGTTTACATAGATTCACATACATTCTCTTATATCAAGTAAAGAGCTTGGGCTAACCGTGCTATAAGAAGTGCTTCTTCGTTGCTATGCTACTTTTATACTACGTTTATCTACAAAACAAACAAACGAACAAAAACATTCTGATGGTCTAGAAGTTTCTACATGCACCCAAAATGGCCTCAAGTGGTTAACTTTTGTCAGGAAACCAATTCGAGCGTAGATAATTATATCATTGCAAATAGCATAATGAGTGAATATTCTTTATTTCTCTACATAGTATACACGTCTAAAGTTTCTAAAAGCCGGTTGGTGAGTTAGTGGACATTCTCAGTGTTTCTCATTGTTCGATAAAGTTTGTTTTTAACAATGTTTCGAGTAAAGAGCCAGCTTCAATGATTACGAAGAAYAAAAGAAACACAAAACAAAACAAAAAACAGAAGGTGAAGGTATCCAGCGGTAACCTAAAACCTCTCTATTTTGTGAAAAAATCGTGRAATCCTAGGCCTTAATGTTTAGAATACRATGAAATAAGTACCCAGGCATCCAACAAATGATAAACTGCTAAAGAAAAACAGTTTCATATATTTCATAAAGCCGAACCTGTATTAAACGACCCTCTCTTTATCGGCCAACCTCTATTAAGCGTCCACTAATGAATTCGACTYTCACATATATCACTGCAAACCTAACCTCTATTAAACGGTCAACCTGTAAGACGAGGTTTGTCTGTATTCGTGTTTATAAATGCGGAGGTTCCGACTCATTGGTGGATGATTTTGATCATTGACGCTTGAAATAACATAATAAACTGGTATTTAAGAACTAACTGTGAGTGCAGCACTGGCTGTCAATCTAGATAGCCGTACTTTTCTCGCTTGCAAAGCAATTATTATCAAGTAACGCTTGCAGAGCATATCAGTSTCATCCTTTCAAACTTACTTTGGCATCTAATGGTTGAAAAGGTAATGACTTTTTATAAACAATTTAAGATAAGGCTTTTTAATGTTATTCTGATTCTGAGGTCGCAATTTTCACTTATAATTTAATATACTTATAATTCAATAATGATATTTATAATATAACATCCATAATTTTGGATGAAACTGAAGGCTTCTTGATGAAAAGTCCTGCTTTTGTGAAAACAAATGAAAATGAAATGACAATTGTCTATCGAAGGTCAATATATAGAAGATTAAGAAAGATTATTTAATTCAACAAATACAAGAAATTTTTATTTGCATTTTTATTTTTAGTCTAAATTCCAACTTGTGCCAATGTGACACGACTGCTCTATTCTAAGACACTGTGTCCACCATATTCCTCACAAATGCGAAAAAGTTCATTAAAAACCATATCTATGCCGTGTTTACGTTCAACGCTTTTGTTTTGCTTAAATGCTTCTCTATATGTTAACAATTTAAAGACATCATGTAAAAAAACAACAAAGTTCAAAGTTCTTATAGCTATTGTTAAGAACAGTTCTAATTGGTATAACCTAATAAAAAAAATAAATAAAATGTAAACTACAATTATGTACAGAACATGAGAAGCTTGGATGAGACTATAAGACTCAGGAGCGAGAATACCTTCTGATTCAATAGAAATTGGCATGTTGTCTCTATCAACAGCGACAAAAATCGAATTAAATATTATGTTTTAATSATATTCATACAGTGACGGGACATTCTAGAGTTTAAGCAAGTCCTGGGGTACTCAAGACCCCAACAGTGCTCTGATGATCGGACAAAAAGTAAAGTATGTGAATTACAAAGACAATGAGGAGTAGGCGTGAGAAAACCCTTAGGGATTAAAAAAAATATCACAAACCATTTGATAAAAAAATATAGTACATTATGACATTCTTTCTCGAATTGTTGTTTCAGGCCAGCAGCAATTATTCGTCGAGCTTTTAAGATTTTAAAAATTAAAATTTTATTGAAATGTCTTTCGAAATCTCTCAGTAGATTTTAAAGCCAAAATGTTTAGCGCCAAATGGTAGTTTATTGTAAACATGAGGTATCGTTCTACTCAGCCTTGAGATTATGCTCGGCCTCAATTAAGTAGTCCGATTATTAGTACGATTATCTAGTTAAAGGGACACTGTCAATGGATGACATGCGCAGTAACAGTCTCACCTCTAACGGACTTTAAAAGTATAACCTTCGAGGTGAATCATTTTGTGGTGCTTTTGACACACTTTGGAATATTCTAGATCTGTTTACGTTTACGATCTGATTTATGTCGCGCCAACTTGGAGTCATAAATTTGAAAACACTAGCCTAGTGTTTTCAAGTTTACTCGCGCATGCGTGCCATTGACAGTGTCCCTTTAATATGATTTTTTTATTAATTAAACTACCTATTTGAACAGTTGTTTAACTTGTTCACCTGTACAAACTAGGCCGGCAACTAAATAAGACTATATACTACAGGAGAAACGGTATTCTACATCTTATTTCTTCAATGGACCTTGYTCTCTATTAAATTCAAAATGGATGYCAGTAAATTTCTGATTGGTCGAGTGATTCACTCCAAAATTCTGATTGGTTGATTAATTTTGAGTYGAGGACAAGGTCTAACAGACTTCGTGCTCAGGGGTAGAAACGAACSACAGAAAATCACACCTGGGTTCTCGAGGATGGTTAAAAAAAAGAAGCATGAYGTTTAAGTGTTCTTTATGGATAATATGAAACTTGATACCCCCAAGCGTAAAAACGACATGTGTCAACGTACAGAGTGGTCTTTGTAGYTTTACATAAAAGCCCTGTAATATGAATAAGTTGTAATTTTTAAAAACATTAGTCTTGCTCATGTATTCATCACGTTTATTTGCACATTCTTTCACATGATCGGAAGTTCGGGGACTCCATGAGATAGCACAGCGCAAGCGTACGTCATTGCACGATTTGCGTTCACCGCGTTACGTTCTTCTTTATAAAGCTACAGTTAAATACTTTGGATTAGATTAACGTAGTTAGTCTACGAGTGAATCTGAWTYTTTGTGATATTTATGCAACGGCATTCATGAATAACCACGTGTAGATGAACTAGAAAGTGAGCCGCTCTATCCTACCCTTGYCAACTCGATTTAAAGCCTTGATCATTGGAATTTCGAACATGGATTTGAACTTGATCGACATACATGTATGTGTTGCCATAGGTTTCACTCTCTGGTTCACGGATGAAATGAAAACCGCAACATTTKTTCTGGTATTTAAKTGCCTATGACGCCTGACAAAAAAATTTCTTATTATCTGTGAGCTGATTCTATATAAAATAAATAATTGAATGGTGAAATATTTCTRCATTTAAGTGTTGCGTCTTTGAGTTATGAAGGTTCAATCTTACAATATGTTAATGAAAATGACGTCAAAGAAGGRTTCATTTAGATATAGGAACTTTGAARGAGTCGCTTAAAAATGGTTTTATGGCATTAAATTTATCGCTGGCAATGTAATACTCATATTCCCAGATGGCGTTCATGAAAACAGTTTTAATCGTATGGTATGTCTTCACGATTCCCTGCACCATCTTGAAAGGTRGCCGTGCCTTTACATCAAAGCGAGACAACCGTTGACCGTACAATGATAGATACCTGTGAATAATTGTCTGTAGGTGTGAAAGAAGGTTTCTATCATTGTACGCTCAACKSTCGTCTCACTTCGATGTAAAGGCACGGATACCTTTYAAGATGGCGCAGGGAACCATGAAGGAGACTATTCCATAATAAAACGAATGAATYGCTTTTCGTTATGTATCTTTTTTGGTTTCAATGCTTGTTGGTCTTGTRTCAGTACAAACAAAACAAATTTAGCTTAAACGACTGTGCAGGTCGATGCAGGCCAGGAGCAAATTCACTTGCCGCAGCAATCTTCCAAAATCTTAACCAAGATGARTCGATCAATGATGTTTTGAATATTACAACATGTGATGTGCAGGTAGAAAACMTATTTTCAAATAGTTGCGTGCGTTTTTAAGCTTAATTTGTTGTTTTGCAAACAAAATTAACAAAAAGCGATTAACTTTCAGCGAGTTTTACTTTTCTTTTTGCATACAAATAAATCATTAGTGTCAATGGAAGCTTAAGCTTTCAAAGTGCCGATGAAGCTATACTGTTTTTATGGGGTTATGTAACGGCATAGGCAATAACGCCCTTTCTAGTTTGCTGGGAGAGAATATTCCCCATAAAATCAAGACCTGACACAAAGCAAATAAACTGTTGAATACATGAAAATTTAGCGCATCAAATCATCCACTAAAAAACATTTTCAATCATCTAATAATGAAAGAATGCTTTCATTTTTGAATACGAATGCACGAGGTAATTGTTAAGTGCTCAATAGAATCACTGAAGCCTAAAATAGAAAATTAAAGGGATTTAAGAGCTGGCTTGGCGTCCTTGGATCATATGACGCCAGTTAGCGTTGAATTGCTCAGGAAAACCTACTTCGTTTCAAGGAACACCTTATCATCTTTTCTAATTTAAACGTTTGGTAAGTAAGTATATGGAAGTATATTCGGCTTTGACATGCTGATATAAAACAGAATATAAAGTGAATTTCATATATCTTTGAGCATGTGTACTGAGGGGTCTTTGTAAGTGTCGACTTATATTTTATGTAAAACGTTGATTTCTACGAGACGAATTGTGCCTACGGCACTGTGGATATTGCCATTGCAATAGTACAGGATAAGCATTTTTTTGAACACTTTTTAGAAATGTATGAAGCAAACATCTATGGAATCAAGGTATTACGACTAAGCAAGTAAACGCATTTTCTGTTTACAAAAAAAAAATACTCTAAAATTCAAACTTTTGTAACTGGGCTTCAATGACTGCTATTCTTTGCCTTACTATGCAATATTATATGAAAAATGTACTTATTTGAAAGCTTCAGTTTTGCTGCATGCTTCAGTATTTCTTATACAATAGGAACAAATTGAAGTCAAGTAGCAAATTAAACTATACAGTCTTTGGATTAATCTGATATGCGCAGCCAACTCTTTTTTTAACTCTTAAAAGAGTTTAGGAGAATATAATTTAAAAGAGTTTAGGAGAATATGATCTTTGGTACAAATAGAAGCCGGGCCCCTATTAGAAACTCTCTGTTGAAAATTCGTTCTTAGTTATTAGTCCATTATATAACAGAAAAATACAACAATAACAAAAAAAATACAGGAATCCAAACTTTGAAGTAAACAACAGAGCATTTTCATGAATTTGTTCATATCGCATTTTAAATATCTGACATAATCATTGAAAAGAAACACAATTCAATGTTTGCAACGTCCACGACCCGGTTGTCATGGTTGAAAAAAAAATAGTTCATTGTATCATTTTACATTATGACACTCTTCGTCGATTTGTTGTTTTAGGCCAGCATTTGTTCTTCGATCTTTTAAGATTTTAAAAATTCAAATTCTGTTGAAATATCTTTCCATAATCTCTCATTGGATTTTAAATCCAAAATATTTAGCGCCAAATGGTAGCTTACTAATCAAGGTAAACACGAGGTATCAGGTATAAATTTATTCTGAATTTAAGAGAATTGAAAAGTACTAATTTGTGTTACTAAGTTATGATTTACTACAAGAGATATACTACAAAATTGTCTCTAGTAATGGAAACAAGCTCGTTAAAAGGGAAGAAAAATCTCTAAATTGCATTGGCCGTGTCTTAAACCAAGTCTTAGTGCAGTTCTGAGAATATGTACAGCCTCAAGTCGTAAGATCATTCTAGTTAATATGATTTTTTTCAAGTAAACCACCTATTTGAACAGTTGTTTAAGTTGTTCACCTGTACARACTCGGTCGGCAACTAAATAAGACTATATACTACAGGAGAAATGRTACTCTACATCTCATTTCTTCATTGGTTATTTAACGGGACAGCTTGTATGGCAAATCTGCTGTCCGAATTTTGATTTTAAAATCCTTAATTTCCAGTAAAAGTTTCCAGGCAATAATTGTAAGTAGCTGAAAACTGGGCAATGCTCTATCTGTGTATGTTTTATTGTTTGTGTGCATTTTTATCAGAAGACGGTAAATTGAAGGTAGAAAGCCTACGACTTTTGCAATGTGTTTCTAGTGGGTATAGATTTTCACATAAGTCTTTTTTGCAATAAGATCAATGCGTTATAATATCTGATTTTGTATCAAAACAAAACTATTGAACTCACAACCAGCTTATATGTTGAAAAAATAAAAGGATTTTCGAATATTAGAAATGTCATCAGGATTCATAATATATCACATAAGTATCTATGAAATACCTATAATTCTTCATTTTGTAAATTGTTATTTTCACAAGGTTTCTGTCTTCGAGGTTTCTGTCCTTCCGTATTTTACGACATAATTTGCTTTCATATGTGATTAATATGATAAACAGAATATTGCATGGTCGCTGGATGATACGAATTTTATCTTCTCGTGTTGAAAATCGCTACGCTCACTCGTGAGATATCCTTTCAACACTCGAAGATAAAATCCGTATCTCTGCACGCCCATGCAATATCCTCTATATAWTCACATTCCGTGCGTGAAGAATGCCATTGTGTTTCAGTTAAGAAAGAACGCGHCGTTTTAATATTCTGTATGGTAATATGAGATTTCTCCACAAGCGTAAAAAAGACACGTGACAATTTCACCATCGGTAATTTGGTTAACATATTTAAGATCGGCTGTACAGATCGAACCGATTAATAAAAACTTTATGAAGGAAAACAATATMATTTTATTCTTATCTTACAGAAAGCTATGGACTTCAAGGTTGGTGTTCTTTTGGTGCTGCTAATGGTGTCACTAATGGTTCAAGATTCTGAACAAGGCCGTCGACGCCGTCGCCGCCGCACCACACCACCTCCCCTAACACAGCAATGTAGAAATCGTGTTCAAAAATATTCAAATCTAAATGGAAAAAGCATMMTTGAAATGGCCCGAGTGTGGGCTCCTGCAGTYAAACTTGCTGAAGGCGAGGAATTTAAACCYTCAAGCATCGATTTCTTTCTCAGCCAAGTTAGTCTATCTGGAAAMGRTGSAAATACTCCGAMGRAACTCACAGCGGAARATCTCCCTCAATGTACGTCTGGAAACTGCTACTTGAACACCAATCTACGGTGCCCGGACTGTACGAATACGAATGTTCTAAGAGGTCAAGATCCATCATCTGTACCGGTCTACGTGATCATCGACGAAGATGACGAAAATGACGCCGTTGATATCTGGTACTGGTTCTTCTTTCCTTACAACCGCGGCAAAATAGTTGACGTTGACAATAAGAAATATCTAAACAAGGTAATTCCTAGTGAAAGTCCGCGAGTTAAGGCATTCCAGAAAGCTATAAAGTAAATGTTTTATCTAGACGRAATAATTTGTGATCAGGGWCGTTTCTGAGAATTTGTAATCGGGGATATCGTTTCGCGATAAACGGTCACAATGAGTACATCGTTTTACTGTYATTAAAAAACACACTGAGAAACCAAATGGAACTAATAGGCCTTTTGCATGATACGGTCACATAGTACTAAATCCGCCATWCTGATGGCAAAATGCCCACTGGGATGTTTTAGACAAAGAAATGCTCTTGAGCTTGACGGGCTGCGTTCCTTTTGTATTTAAGGTTAAATTCTTTTGACATCAGTACCACGGATTTAGTATCACGTGAACGTTGAATATAAGGCCTATTACTTTACTGACACTGATTAAACGTTAAAAGGAGGCATTAACATGATAAGCAGTCAGATTGAATTATTAYTGAATTTATCGATTTATTGATTGAAATTTCTTTTTTGGCTTAGGAAGGGTCATGGTCGAYATATGCATCCCCATCCCTCCCCTCCCCCTAAAATTAAATACTCTTCTTAAAATGTTTATTGAGAAGGCAAGGCATTATACTGCCAATCGCTGTTATCTATACTAAAATAATTCTCAAATCTCTAGGTAATTAAAGTTTTACCTAACCAATGGGAAAAGTTTCTTAAARATCTTCAAAAACAGACGTATGGGAACCATGTTGGCGACTGGGAAAAGATTAAGATAAGATTCGAGAACAAAAAGCTCCATTCCATGTACCTAGCAACTCACGATTCATCCGTCACCAAAAAGTACGCTGGAGAATTCCTCTGGGATGGAGCAGGTTTCAAGAAAGACAACAAGCGTATCGAGATGCAAAGTTGCACACATGGGATCGCATATGCTGCAAAGGGTTCCCATGGATTTTGGCCAAATACTGGGAAGCACACTTATAAGAAAATCATCGAAGTGTTTAAGCTGGTCGACGARTGCAGCAATGGGGCGCCTTGGAACACTTGGGAAAACTTGAAAATTACAACGAGGAAAGCTGAAGGGGAGCTTTACCAGAATGAATTCAATTTCTTCAATTACAAGGGGAGATGGGGGAATGAGGAACGTAGTTGTGTAGATATTGACAAGAAGATTGATTTGTTTTTTACGAAATTTCGTATAAAGTTCAAGCAATGTGTCCTTAGTTCAGGCCCCAAAGGACCTACAAAAATCTTTGAGTGATGTTTGGAGTATGTTTGAGGGTTTTTTGTAGTATTATATAAAAGCTTTGTGTGTAAGATGTCATTCAAAGCATTAGTCTTGATCATGTATTCATCACGTTTAATTGCAAATAAAATTTTGTTGTTGTAATGTTGTGACTAGCGTTTTTGATTTCGTGCATTTTCATGGGTTAAGGGAGGTGTAGTCTATTTCATTAATCAAAAAGTAATTTCAGAACTGAAATGAGAAATGAACAGACGTCCAGGGGGATTGAGAGAAAAATTGCATTTTTGAGCATTTCAGTTTCGGGCTTCCTTTAGCAAATCTATGCCAAATGTGGAAACAAACAAAAGCGCTGATTGTTGAGAAATGTTTTCGCTATAATATCTGCAAGTTTCAGATTATTTCATATATGCCTGCTAAACTAAGGACAACTGAGGCCATTCTTTGATATGTGCGAGTTCTTCTACCATGTACGTACACCTGATAGCCTTCAATGATCAAGTATTAATATAACGATCATTCAAAATTAAGAAATGGACAGGGCAGACTCCAGGTGACTGAGAGAGACATTGCCTTTTTGTTATGCAGGGTCTTTTAAAATGTAAGTACATCCGTTAGCCTTCAATGATCAAGTACGTAGTATTATCAATTAAAACAGAGAAATGGATAGGAGTCCAGGGGATTGAGAGGAACATTGCCTGCAAGGTCTTTTATAATGTACGACCATCTGTTAGCCTTCAATAATCAAGTAGTAATATAATGATCAAT